AGAGTGAGCCTATGACGATTACATCATCCGTGTATTAACTAAGTTTAATGTAATCTAAACTCCAACTGCTGGATRATATTGTTGACATAACACATACATAGGTAGGTAATCGGTCAAAATATCCAAATGTATCCGTTTTTCCGAAAATATGTCCATTACACTTTATTTTCTAATAAATCTAATAAAATTTAAATATACCTATTATACTGAACATAAATATATTGCACACACATTAGTCAAAGAATATAAWATAATTTGTTTTTATAAATACAGCTAGTATACACACAATAATAGTCAAATAATAAAAATAATACMAAATAAAATGTCAAATAATTGTTTTTATATATACAGTATTTTACGGGGTGCCKTCACTGGGCGACTTCCCCTTCCTGCCAATCAATCACCATCACATTTACTTATTGTATAACTGTAAATACAGATTGTAAATATAATGTTTCGTCAAATAAAAAAATATATATATATATAGTAATACAGTATACTAAAATCACAACTAAAAATTTAGAAATGTTTTTTAAAATAGAAAATTGTATCTTATTGTCGAATAAAATTAGCAATAGCATTTAATAAATTTGGAATAATATCCTTAGTGCCATCATTGAATTCTTCACAAATATGTTTTAATAAATCTTTTTTTTTCTTTTTCGTTGGTGGTCCAATGGTACCCAGTTGACGTTGTGCGACTTTAGTTTCGTCTGCAGCATTTTCATGCCGCATCTTGGTTATTAATGTCCACATTGTTGGRTGCTTGTGATTCACCTAATTCAACATTAAATAAATTATATTGAATAATTTAATTGTAATTCCTAATAATAAACACTTACCAAGTTTGAAAATCGATTATTCCATCCCTCACAGAGTCACATACATTGTTAAACCGATCTCTGTATTTAATGTTGCATCATTTACATTCCAGACAGATGGTGGAAAATGAGGAGATGTTTTTCGAAATTTTATACGTGTCTCCGATTGCCCGTTTCCGACTCTTTTATAGGACCCTATATACGTGCGCTCAAAATATTCGACCAAATCTGTGGCTTATACAGGCATGGCATTTTATAAATATGATTAACCTTGAAAAAAATCAATGATTTTTCAATAAATCAATTTTTATTCTTTTTTCTATAAATATCCGTAAAAAAATATTCATCGACTCAGTTTAAAAATGTWATACAATGTTATTACTCATAAGTAAGGATTAATGACCAAAAAACGAAAAAAAAAATGCTAAATTAAATTTTTCTATATATATGTATTGAATTTTGTGTGACATAATTCGAATTTCTATAAAGACGAGCCTCGAATATAATATAATAAATTAATAACTTATTATTGTTGAGAATCTTGTTAATTTTAAATAATATTTATTTAATAAGTAAACGAGTTAAAAGTTAAAACGTTAAGTTAATTAACTCGTTACTTTCTTCAAATTTACTTTTAATTTAAATAGTTTTTTAATAAATTATATGTACTGGCTTTTTTTCACTATCTTTAGCAAGTTGGAGCTTTTCATTTACACATTTTGCTACATTGATTTTCTCTGTGTTTTTGGTGCGTTTCATCAGATGTGTTTTTAATTTTTTATTACGTGTGGTTCAGAATAGTCCAACTCAGATTGTAAAATTCCTGGACATTTTAATAGGTACATTTGATTTCACGCAGCGCCACGATATTTTTTTGATACCTTTATATTTAATAKCTAATAGTATATATATGTATGCCCACTAAATAAGACTTTCAAACCACCTTTGTTTGAACTCGTTACTTCCATATTATTCATTTTTAATAAATTTATAAACTGCATTTCACTATAACACGAAAACCGAACAACGTTGACGACGATGAAGACAATAATGACGTATTTTAGATTTATAGGCGATGATAACTGTAATTTGTCGGAGTTTGGAAAACAGACGCACTAAATATAGGTACAGTCACAGCTTATAGTCCRTATAGCCGTATAGGTACAATATAACAAAATCTAATAAGTAATAAATAATAATCCGATAAAATAATTATAGTCACTCACACATCACACTTGTCTTATCGAGAATGTTAACGATAAGATACGTAATATTATATATAGCATAGCGTATTAGCATCTCGTGAAATTTCCAGGTTGAAATACAATTATTATTATATGTGTATTATTACATTTTATCTTTATCGTAATTCGTAGATGCGTGTATGTTACTATGTATACAGCGCGTCAATCCATGAACTGAGCTTGGCGAACTTTATTAATATTATATTGTCATAAATATAATATATTATGCTTATACAACGGCGTATTTTTTTATTATATAAGATATTTTACTACGCAAATTTGAGCCTTTTGTTTGTACCCCTCCCCACACCCAATAAGACATTTCTAGATACGCCCCTGATATATTTATATATATAAACAAGTAACAACAATTAAAAGCTCAACTCAGGGGTGGATTGGGTGAGCTATATATGGAATTATATAGAAACCGGATCTGTTCCTAGATCGTTTTCTATTATATTATACATTTTTTTTTTCTTATAGAATTCTATTTTTCTTGTCAAAATGCTTATATTATTTGAGTATTTTAGCTAATTTTATTATAGCAAGTAAAGTGTAATGCACTTATTTTCGGAAAAATTGATTAATTAATCTAACATTTTATTTCATATTGTTTTATTAGTTTATCAGTTTGTGTATTGTAATAAAATATATTTATATTTTATTATATTTATTATAAAATAAAGTGTAATGGACTTATTTTCGGAAAAACGCATACATTTGAATATTTTGTCCTAGATTCACATAGGTAAGATACATTTCTAGGAAAATAAAACTCGCTGATAAAATATATAATTTGTGCACGAGAAAAATACTAAAACAGGTGTATATTATTGTATGCCTAGGAATTCGTATTTTCTGCACCAAAAAATGTCCGCTGTAAGCACGTCGCACGTTCTTATAGTTTTTACCGGAAATATCACACTGATCGTGTAGGTATTAGGTAATAATTATATAATATGGCTATGATTTTTAAATTGTATGGTTTTTTGTGAAATTATTGGAATTGAGCATAAAGTGTGGTTCGAAACCTTCCTCAACAGCATTTACAGTCTGAAATTACACATTGGTGCATTCCAATAATATATTATTAATAATAACCTACTGCAATCATAAACATTAATAATTATTATCCATTTACTATAGCTTTACACAATCCGTAGCCACAGCATCAATTACTAATTAATAATAATAATAATAAAAATATACAATTATTGTCAGTCCGTGTTAAACGAGTACCCGCAGGTGGCAGGTGTCACGTCTTCAAACGAGAGCGGTGGCGGCGCACAAGGCACAACACCTGAAGTTGAAACTTGAAACCTGAGCATATCTATTAAATACATAATAACAAATAACAATATTATTACATATTTATTTATACGTCTAAGCCCTAAGGTGGCGAGAGCCGTTTGTGGTCGGTGGGGGGGGCGATAACCGATGTGATTATGTGAAGAACTTACTGGGGTGTCGTACACTCGTACAGTCGCAACGTAGCGTACGCGCTATTTGTTAATAATAATAATATATTCTATGGCACCACCACGTCCGTTGATAACAGCATGTGATAAGAAGTACCGTGTGACGGGTGGAGATAAACACGGCTATTAGCGAATAGCGATAATCTTATTGTCAGCGTCCAGAGTTCTTGTCATTTGCACCTACATACAATTTCCAAAACAGAATCGTTWCTTACGACTGCAT